GAGTAGGCGTCCGACCGGCGACCGGAGACGGCAGCAGCAGCAGCAGCAGGTTTCTAACGGGGCTTCTCGCGAGTGGTGCGGCGACACACCGTTCCACTGCCCCGCGCAAGCCGCTACGCGATGCGCGAGTGACGGACGGACGGGCGGGCAGGCAGGCAGGCGAGCGGGCGCTTGGTCGACACACACACCGCGAGGCGATGGCCGTCGGCACAAGGTGGTGAGCGCGCCGCGCGCGTGTGCGTGGTGTGTGGGAGTGTGGAGTGGAGTGGAGTGGAGTGCGCCGGAGGTGAGCCGCGCTTGACGATGCCTCTCTGACTGCGCGCAGAATGGCCGGGCTGGACGCGCAGAGCGACACGACCAGCCATGTGGCGGCGGACGACCGCGCGAGCGACGCCTCGGAGGAGACGGCGCCGTCGCTGGACGGCGTCCACGTCGCCGCCGCCCCCCTCGACGCCGCCACGGCCGCCTTCCCCATCGGCGCCGGGGGCATCAAGGAGGTGAAGGAGGGCGGGCGCAAGCTCGGGCTCAAGATGAGCTTCCGCACGCTGTCGTCGCCGCGGAGGGCGGAGAAAGGTGAGCGGAGCTGGCGCCGCCGCGCGCCCGGCGGTGAAAGTAAGTGACAAGCCCCCCCCCNNNCCCCCCCCCGTTGCCCCTTTTGGGGCGACCCCCGCGAGGTGATGCACTTGCCTCGCCTGCGTGTACAATGCACGCACCTTTAATTTCAAGCTTTTGCTACTAATTGCTTGTAGTGAAATGATGCACGCACACACATACACACACACACTTCCATCTTTTTGTTTGGCAGATTATTGTAAAATAATTGATATATTCCTATTAAACCTGGTTTATAAAACATGTAACTGTTTTTGGAGTAGATCTACTAAGCGGATTTTGTTTGAAACACACGTTTGATTTGAAGCTTTATCAACTATTTTTTTTTTTTTTAGGAATTGATGCACACACACACACACAGACACACATACTTTAATCTTGGTATTTGGCGGATTATTGTAAAATAACTGGTATATTCCTAATTATCTTGATTTATATAACATGTAAGTGTTTTGGGGGTAGATCTACGAAGAGAGTTTTGTTTGAAATTATCATAGGGATCACGCTGCTGTCTAAGAAATAACGTCAAAGCATGTTAGTGTGGTTCTCGGGCCACGAATCTGATTGTGAGTCGCCGGTTTAGTATGTATTTTATCCGCGCACATTTTCCTAAGCCTTCATTTGCCTGGAGGCGAGGGAGGAGGGGGATTTCGACGACAGAACTATTATATCAAATCTGTTGCTAAGTTTTTCGACGCAAAATTGTTTCTATTATTTTGCTATAAATATTTCTGGTTATCGGTTTTGTCAACAAAGCTCTTTGTTACCACTTATTCATAATTAAACTACTGTTAGTAAAGGAGTGGGGGTAGGTATTGTGGGACTGCAGAAAATGGAGTTTCATCACCTGTTTCTACAACACACATATGCAATAACATGCGTTTATTTTCAAGCTTATACAACTTGAGTATTATAGGAGTGAAAAGATGTAGTACCACACACTTTCAAATTGGTCTTTGGCGGACGATTTCCAACAACTGTATAACGAGGGTAGCTTAACAAATTCTTGTAAAATAACTTATGTATTCCTGTGTTAGTATGATTGATAAAAAACTACTTTGTTTGGAATGGTCTTATGGTCCACCTTGCTACACGTCAAATAACGGCACAGCATGTCCGTGTAATATAGTGCCACAAATCCGATTATGAGTTGTCGCTGGTTTAGTATACACCATCTACGAGCGTCGATCACACTGATGCAGTAATTTTAGTCTAATTTGGCCTAGTTGTCGTTAGTCTTTGACTCTCAATTATAATCTCAAAACATGCATCATAAATATGTCGTAGGTTATCAAAATTAATTTTGACAATGGCGTAATCTAATAATTTTCTTCATTTGGAAAGTAGATATAAATTTGTATTTTCACTACCCTAGGTAGAAAGCGTAGAAATCTTCGGAACGATTTGGTCAGTTTTATTGTATTCTCTTCGTAAATTTAAGGGGAATATACATTACAAATTAATTTTCAAATCTCTGAAGTTCTACCTGCCAGTTACTATTCACTAATACAGTACAATGACTAACATGTTTATGTTGAAAAGTATCATATGAAATAAAGTCATAGAATGACAATGTGATATCTAGAGGGCGGATTTTGATGACCTAAAACATTGCCAAAAATGATCAATAAAATACTCTTAAAATTACTTTACTTAATACTAAAATACTTTTCAAATGCCGTTTATAGGGCATTTTTTATCAAAACCACTTCTTATGTACAACTCAAGCTGTTGGGTATGTTACTGATGTAATCGAAGCTTCTTCCTATAGTTCATGTTGTGTTCAACTCAACTTGCCAATTTTGGTTTGGACTGTTCTTTAAAAAAAATCTCTCCCTTCATTTATCGTGAAATCGTGGAACTGACAATGCACCGATAGGCGTTACAGGAACCTTAGATTACATAGTACTCGCAACGGGTGACATAACGATATATGAGTGAAGAAATAGAATAGGCTACTCAGGAATTCTGTTGTGCACATTTGTTGCATCTCGTAAATATTGTTTGAAGCACGTGGCATTAAAATGATATTAAAATCGATGAAATCAGGAAAAAAATTGCATTAAAAATGACGCGAAATCTCTGTTATCCTTCTGGAGCTCGAGCGAGTGGGTTGGCTGCCCGTCTTCAAGCGCATGCCTCTGCCGAGAGTCTGTTCTTGACCTAGGCCCGCGGCCAACGTCCCTGCAGCACCGGATGATCCTCGCTTTCACCCGTGCGCATGGGCAGACAAGTAGCACAGGCTCTCCGCACCACGCAAATGCTTTCCCCGCGAAGGACGTTCGAAATTCTACGTAACGTTATATTGACGCGGTTGCAAAGAAAAATACATGTAGCATTACATGTTTACGTGAATTGATAGTGCATTTCTAAATCAGATTTGGATATCGGAAAAAAAATAATGCTTCAATGTCAATACAGAATGAAACATTCAGGATATAAGGGGGAAAACGTATGTCCACATTGAAAAGACAATCGAAATTGGTAACATTTTAAAAATATTATGAAATTGTTGCGGGCAACTGGTTCTAAATTAAAGGTAATTAGTTCATTCATATTTCATTCATTTTTATTTTTTAATCTATAGTAATCCGAACAAAGTAGCAAAATGCTCACTGTGAGTAATGTGATTGAATTTCATTTTCTTTACGTAGGATATTGAAATATGTACAGTCATAAAAAACTACTTACAATTTGTTCATATTTTTAATCACTAAAATAGTTGTAATCTTTATTTCAGAATAATAATCACAATTCAACTAATTATCATTTTCTAATTATTTTAATCTGAAAGGCTACTAACAAGTAAAAACATGTTTACGAAATTTGTTGATAAGGAATAAGCCCTTTTGTTGTAAACGAAAGATGCCATCTTTCTAACTCAAGACATACATTTTCACCCAAATACTCGTAAGTGGACATTCATGTTGCACGACAGTGCCTCATTCACAGTAATGTTCAGACGTCCGTTTAGAATTGTTGACAAAATGTCAAATAGGTCAGTTTTTAGCAAGTTATGTGTTTCAAAGGCCTTAAATTACGCAAAAAATGTAAAATAAGTTTTCCATTTATTTGTTTTTAATAAAAGCAATCAAAAACTTTGAGAATGCAGATGTCCGGTTCAAGCATCATAAAGGAAATATACTATTAATTATTTTCTTTTCAGTTTTGTGGAATACTGAAGTGAGGATTTTTTTAAAACATCCCGCTTTCTGGAGGGCAGAAAATAGAGACTTTTCGAACCAGACGGAGCTTTAAAACGATTCAGAAGCAAAACATTGAAGAATCGTTGCACTAGATCAAAATCAAAGAGGAAATTCGAAACCGTGGCCAGGCACTGAGGAAGCTTAGTGTTAAAAGCGTAGCAAAATTTAAGATGATGGCCAAGTCTAAAGAGGAAAAGAATGGCATTTTTAAAAAAATTGAAATAATTTCTGGAGTTCCTCTCATATGCTACATTTAAAAACATCAAATAATTTATTAAAACGACAGGAGCTGCGGGAAAAAAGAACAGGTGGTGCAATTGGTAGACCTATGTGCATCAATAGAGGGACTCTCACAAAATTGAGTTAAAACTGCTAGAGCTGATGTTTGAAATGTTTCTTTTACAAATAGAAAAATAATGTACACCAGTGAGTTGCTGGGATAAACGCTCTTTTAAACCCCGTGTCTTAAAGCCTTTTCTCTACGTGCACGAAACTTTAAAAAACACTAACTTAGTTATCAATTTATGTACAGTGCGTTTGATAGGTAATGTTTATTATGTCACGTAATGAAAATAATTCATTTTTATAGATATTACTGTTAATCGAATTACTTTCATTATTGCATAATTATTTATCTATTATACAATTAAACTTGCTCGTCCGACAGCACTGCTGTAACCTTATTACATAATGCTTCAAGTCTGGTTTACTTGCTCACTTCTCTGAGGACGGAAAGCGATTTTCTCGACTTCGAGAATGAGTGACAAATTACGGGTGGGTTTTTGATAATAAACAAGAGGAAGCAAACGATCCTAATTACCATGTTTAAAGTCGATGTTGTCATTTATGGTAATTAACAATGTCTACGAGAACATGCATTTTATAGCAATTAGCACAATTTTATTGATGTATGCTTCCAGTAATTTCATAGCCTTTAGTAACGGCCAATTTTTATAGGCACCATCTTATTTGGCTCAGAGCTCAGGCATTGATGCCTGTGGCTGGGAGGTCGTAGGGTTTGAATCCCAACGGTGACGGGATTTTCGACACTAGCTAGATAGCTGCTGCCTTCAGCCGCTGGCTGGAGGAGAATTCTAGTGGCCGGCTGCTCTGATAGGTAGTTTTCCGTGGATTCTCCGACCAACACCAGGCGAATGCCGACGCAGTGCCGTAACTGACTGGCCACAAACAGCACGCAATCTTTTCTTCCTTTCGTTAGTGCTAACTGTACACCCTTATTTACACACACAATTGCGTGCACTACACTACCACACATGCCCGGAGACCAGTCGGAAGTTTAGAGTTTGTCCCGGCTGCAGCGACCCCAAGCTGGTGCGAGATACCTGGTAGAGGGAAACCCTGCAAGTCCGCGTAGGTTGTCTCCGAATCTCGCCATCGAACGGGGGAAGATCTCTCCCACGATCCGCGATAAAAAAAACTTACAGTACTCTTACGGAACCAATGCATTCGCAGCCATTACATCAGCTGATGCGCCTGTAATCTGTAATCGTCAGAACCATAGGTGTAACCACGCCATTGGTGACCTGCGTATGATTTGAGAACACGTGTAAAAAAACATCCC